GTGGCAATCGTGTGTCTTTGTTTATGAAAGATTAACAGAAGGGTGGCAATCGTGTGTCTGGTCTTTTGAAAGATTAACAGACGGATAGCAATCGTGTGTCTAGTCGTATGGAAGATAAACAGACGGGGGGCAATCGTGTGTGTGGTCTTCGGGAAGATAAGCAGACGGGTGACAATCGTGTGACTGGTCTTATGGAAGATAAACAGACGGTGTCTAGTCTTATGGAAGATAAACAGACGGGTGACAATCGTGCGTCTGGTCTTAGCGAAGATTAACAGACGGGTGGCAATCGTCTGTCTGGTCTTATGAAAGAATAACAGACGGTCGGCAATCGTTTGTCTGGTCTTATGGAAAATAAACAGACGGGTGGCAATCGTGTGTTTTGTCTTATGGAAAAATAAACAGACAGGTGGCAATCGTGTGTCTGTGTGTCTAGTCTTATGGAAGATAAACAGACGGGGGGCAATCGTGTGTGTGGTCTTCGGGAAGATAAGCAGACGGGTGACAATCGTGTGACTGGTCTTATGGAAGATAAACAGACGGTGTCTAGTCTTATGGAAGATAAACAGACGGGTGGCAATCATGTGTCTGGTGTGTCTGGTCTAATGAAAGATTAACAGACGGGTGGCAATCGTCTGTCTGGGTTTACGAAAGATTAGCAGAAGGGTGGCAATCGTGTGTCTGGTCTTATGAAAGATTAACAGAAGGGTGGCACGTCTGGTCGTATGGAAGATTAACAGACGGGTGGCAACCGTGTGCCTGGGTTTCGGAAAGATTAACAGACGGGTGGCAATCATGTGTCTAGTCTTATGGAAGATAAACAGACGGGTGACAATCGTGCGTCTGGTCTTAGCGAAGATTAACAGACGGGTGGCAATCGTCTGTCTGGTCTTATGAAAGAATAACAGACGGTTTGCAATCGTGTGTCTGGTCTTATGAAAGATAAACAGACGGGTGGCAATCGTCTGTCTGGGTTTACGAAAGATTAGCAGAAGGGTGGCAATCGTGTGTCTGGTCTTAGGAAAGATTATCTGGTCTTTTGAAAGATTAACAGACGGATAGCAATCGTGTGTCTAGTCTTATGGAAGATAAACAGACGGGGGGCAATCGTGTGTCTGTTCTAATGGAAGAGAAACAGACGGGTGACAATCGTGTGACTGGTCTTATGGAAGATAAACAGACGGGTGGCAATCGTGTGTGTGGTCTTCTGGGCAATCGTGTGTCTGGTCTTAGGGAAGTTTAACAGAGGGGTGGCAATCGTGTGTCTTTGTTTATGAAAGATTAACAGAGGGGTGGCAATCTTGTGTCTGGTCTTATGAAAGAATAACAGACGGTTTGCAATCGTGTGTCTGGTCTTATGAAAGATAAACAGACGGGTGGCAATCGTCTGTCTGGGTTTATGATCTGGTCTTTTGAAAGATTAACAGACGGATAGCAATCGTGTGTCTAGTCTTATGGAAGATAAACAGACGGGTGGCAATCATGTGCCTGGTGAGTCTGGTCTTATGAAAGATTAACAGACGGGTGGCAATCGTCTGTCTGGTCTTATGAAAGAATAACAGACGGTTTGCAATCGTGTGTCTGGTCTTATGAAAGATTAACAGACGGGTGGCAATCGTGTGTCTTTGTTTATGAAAGATTAACAGAGGGGTGGCAATCTTGTGTCTGGTCTTATGAAAGAATAACAGACGGTTTGCAATCGTGTGTCTGGTCTTATGAAAGAATAACAGACGGGTGGCAATCGTCTGTCTGGGTTTACGAAAGATTAGCAGAAGGGTGGCAATCGTGTGTCTGGTCTTTTGAAAGATTAACAGTCGGGTAGCAATCGTGTGTCTAGTCTTATGGAAGATACACAGACGGGTGGCAATCGTGTGTGTGGTCTTCTGGGCAATCGTGTGTCTGGTCTTAGGGAAGATTAACAAACGGGTGGCAATCATGTGTCTAGTCTTATGGAAGATAAACAGACGGGGGGCAATCGTGTGTGTGGTCTTCGGGAAGATAAGCAGACGGGTGACAATCGTGTGTCTGGTCTTAGGGAAGATTAACAAACGGGTGGCAATCATGTGTCTAGTCTTATGAAAGATTAACAGACGGGTGGCATCCTATGGAAAATAAACAGACGGGTGGCAATCGTGTGTGTGGTCTTCTGGGCAATCGTGTGTCTGGTCTTAGGGAAGTCGTGTGTCTGGTCTTAGGAAAGATTATCTGGTCTTTTGAAAGATTAACAGACGGATAGCAATCGTGTGTCTAGTCGTATGGAAGATAAACAGACGGGGGGCAATCGTGTGTGTGGTCTTCGGGAAGATAAGCAGACGGGTGACAATCGTGTGTCTGGTCCTATGGAAAATAAACAGACGGGTGGCAATCGTGTGTGTGGTCTTCTGGGCAATCGTGTGTCTGGTCTTAGGGAAGTCGTGTGTCTGGTCTTAGGAAAGATTATCTGGTCTTTTGAAAGATTAACAGACGGATAGCAATCGTGTGTCTAGTCGTATGGAAGATAAACAGACGGGGGGCAATCGTGTGTGTGGTCTTCGGGAAGATAAGCAGACGGGTGACAATCGTGTGTCTGGTCCTATGGAAGATAAACAGACGGGTGGCAATCATGTGCCTGGTGAGTCTGGTCTTATGAAAGATTAACAGACGGGTGGCATCCTATGGAAAATAAACAGACGGGTGGCAATCGTGTGTGTGGTCTTCTGGAAGATAAGCAGACGGGTGACGTGTGTCTGGTCGTATGGAAGATTAACAGACGGGTGGCAATCGTGTGTCTAGTCTTATGGAAGATACACAGACGGGTGGCAATCGTGTGTGTGGTCTTCTGGGCAATCGTGTGTCTGGTCTTAGGGAAGATTAACAAACGGGTGGCAATCATGTGTCTAGTCTTATGAAAGATTAACAGACGGGTGGCATCCTATGGAAAATAAACAGACGGGTGGCAATCGTGTGTCTAGTCTTATGGAAGATAAACAGACGGGTGGCAATCGTGTGTGTGGTCTTCTGGAAGATAAGCAGACGGGTGACAATCGTGTGTCTGGTCCTATGGAAAATAAACAGACGGGTGGCAATCGTGTGTCTGTTCTAATGGAAGAGAAACAGACGGGTGACAATCGTGTGTCTGGTCCTATGGAAGATAAACAGACGGGTGGCAATCGTGTGTGTGGTCTTCTGGAAGATAAGCAGACGGGTGGCAATCGTGTGTCTGGTCTTATGGAAGATAAACAGACGGGTGGCCATCGTGTGTCTGTTCTTATGGAAGAAAAACAGACGGGGGGCAATCGAATGTCTGGTCGTTTGGAAGATAAGCAGACGGGTGGCAATCGTGTGTCTGGTCTTATGGGAGATTAACAGACGGGTGACAATCGTGTGTCTGGTCTTATGGAAGATAAACAGACGGGTGGCCATCGTGTGTCTGTTCTTATGGAAGAAAAACAGACGGGGGGCAATCGAATGTCTGGTCGTTTGGAAGATAAGCAGACGGGAGGCAATCGTGTGTCTGGTCTTATGGAAGATAAACAGACGGGGGGCAATCGTGTGTGTGGTCTTCGGGAAGATAAGCAGACGGGTGACAATCGTGTGTCTGGTCCTATGGAAGATAAACAGACGGGTGGCAATCGTGTGTCTGTTCTTATGGAAGAAAAACAGACGGGTGGCAATCGAATGTCTGGTCGTTTGGAAGATAAGCAGACGGGTGGCAATCGTGTGTCTGGTCTTATGGAAGATAAACAGACGGGTGGCAATCGTGTGTCTGGTCTAATGGAAGATTAACAGACGGGTGGCATTCGTGTGTCTGGTCTTATGGAAGATAAACAGACGGGTGGCAATCGTGTGTCTGGTCTTGGGGAAGATTAACAGACAGGTGGCAATCGTGTGTCTGGTCTTAGGGAAGGTTAACAGACGGGCGGCAACCGTGTGTCTGGTCTTATGAAAGATTAACAGAAGGGTGGCAATCGTCTGTCTGGTCTTATGGAAGATTAACAGACGGGTGGCCATCATGTGTGTGGTCTTAGGGAAGATTAACAGACGGTCGGCAATCGTGTGTCTGGGTTTATGAAAGAATAACAGACGGGTGGCAATCGTGTGTCTGTTCTAATGGAAGAGAAACAGACGGGTGACAATCGTGTGTCTGTTCTTATGGAAGATAAATAGACGGGTGGCAATCGTGTGGCTGGTCTTAGGGAAGATTAACAGACGGGGGGCAACCGTGTGTCTGGGTTTATGAAAGATTAACAGACGGGTGGCAACCGCGTGTCTCGTCTTATGAAAGATTAACAGAAGGGTGGCAATCGTATGTCTGGTCTTATGAAAGAATAACAGACGGTCGGCAATCGTGTGTCTGGTCTTAGGGAAGATTAACAAACGGGTGGCAATCATGTGTCTAGTCTTATGGAAGATAAACAGACGGGTGGCAATCGTGTGTCTGGTCTTGGGGAAGATTAACAGACAGGTGGCAATCGTGTGTCTGGTCTTAGGGAAGATTAACAGACGGGTGGCAACCGTGTGTCTGGGTTTATGAAAGATTAACAGAAGGGTGGCAACTGTATGTCTGGTCTTTTGAAAGATTAACAGACGGGTGGCAATCATGTGTCTAGTCTTATGGAAGATAAACAGACGGGTGGCAATCATGTGTCTGGTCTTATGGAAGATAAATAGACGGGTGGCAATCGTGTGTCTGGTCTTATGGAAGATTAGCAGACGGGTGGCAATCGTGTGTCTGACCTTATGAAAGATTAACAGACGGGTGGCAATCGTGTGTCTAGTCTTATGGAAGATTAGCAGACGGGTGGCAATCGTGTGTCTGGTCTGGTCTGTTGTCGTTTTTTCTTGGAAAGGATAGCTGTCGTGGACACTTCTGGCATATTTGACAATGGGTCTGTGGCTTAGAAAACACTACCGAATAAGGAATTATCACAAAGGGGCATTCCTTCTGTATCTACCTAATGTGCGAGTTGATAAATGTCGATAGAAATTTCAGTTAAGATATGTATTACCTCTATCCCTAGGATTGCCTGCTAGCATTACCGATCCGACCTGCCTGTATATTATGAGATTGTCTTCACGCGTGACGGACTACAGGAGGAAGGAGTGCCATCAGCCATCCTCCTATCTATGTAGAACGAGTAAGGAACTACGGTTACCCTCTGTCTATTTCTTCATAAACTAAACATGAAATCACAAGTTTCTTTATATTTATGAATGTTCTCAATATCATAATTATTAAAGGGATATATTTCTTCAAATGTTTAATGAGATAGTAAAACAAAAATAAAGTTATATCAAGAAATCATTTGATATGTACAAAGACATTCGTTTCTAAGCGAATATATATGTCATTGTAATATTGTATTGCGATCAAATATTACAATTAACGTTTTCAATTAACGTACACTGTATGAGTTGCTCTCTCTAGCCGAGACCGTGTAATCGTAAAATGTCGTCAATTTAACTATAATATAAACCATACATGTACAAAGACATCGTCCGAGTTATAACATTGTAACAAATATTTATAAATATTTATTTTGCAGACGCATCGACAATGACTAATTCGACTGATGGAGATTCACACTCGTCGAAAAAAGGTAAATATTGGTTCTGAGGACTGACCAATACAAACGATTATACATAACAACAATGTCATATATACATATTATACCTAACACCAGTGTCATATATACATACGATTATATGTACCTATTGATTTTACCGTCATTATTACTTCTTTGACCCATAACAACAGTATTATATATACATACGAGTATACCTAACAACAGTATTATATATACATACGATTATACCTAACAACAGTGTCATATATATATATACGATTATACCTAACAACAGTGTCATATATATACATACGATTATACCTAACAACAGTATCATATATATATACGATTATACCTAACAACAGTGTCATATAAATATATGATTATACCTAACAACAGTGTTATATATACATACGATTATACCTAACAACAGTGTTATATATACATACGATTATACCTAACAACAGTGTTATATATA